AGGGTGATTTCTCTCTCTCTCTGTCTTTCTGGTGAGTGCACATGCCCTATAGGAAAAACCTCTCCAAAAATAAAAAAATAGAATTATTTATTCAATCATTTATTTTAATTTGACCAGAGAGAGAGAGAGAGAGAAAGAGAGAGAGCATAAGTGAGAAAGCAAGCCACCAGGTCCAGGACTCGAACCATGGTCGACCATGTGAGAGTGTCCAGCACCTTAACCACCAGCCACCTGCTAATCCCCAAATAATAATTTTAAAAAAATAAAAAAGATTCCTTTCCTCCTCTGGGCATCCCCTGAAGCTCCCCAGCTTCCTAAGTCTGGGCAACCTCACCTACCTCCTGGCTCCCCCTGTGACACTGGGCTGCCTTTGGTGAGGCTTCTCATTTACTTTTTTAGGGGAGAGGGATGAGGAAGCTGGAGAGGCACCCAGCTTCCCTCGAAGCCCAAGTCTCTGATATGTTCTGCTGTTAGCCCAAAGGGAGCCCCTCTGTTTTCCTCTTCTCTTCTCTTCTCTCCCTGTGTTTCCCGGCTCCGCACAGACTTTGCTTTCTCCAGGAAGCTCACCCTGCTAACCTGGCTGGGGAAGGGGCCTTTTGGGGGTACCTCAGCCAGGGTTGCCCTCTCTCTGTCATTGTCCTTTCCAGCCTAAGAAACCAGTGTCTGTCTCCTGGGGGTTCTTTCCTGCTAGGATGAAATCCACGGGCTCTGGGATGTCCTGTGGACACGGGAACGCCGAGTGGATGAGCAACAAATGACAGGATTGCGTGTCCCCACCGCCCGGGTGGCTTCCCTCCCTGCTTCACCAGCAAAACGTGTGAAGACTGAGAGGTCAGCAAAGTGCCCAGAACAGCTTCCATTGGGGCTGCTTGGTGGACTCAACCTCCCAGGCCAGGCCCTCAGGCCAGGGCAGAGGAAGCAGCTTCCTGAGGGAAATGCAGGAAGACACCCTGTCGCAAATGTGGGCCTTTGCAAGGTCCTGTGCTCAGAGCAAGAGGGAGAGAAACTTCCCTTTCCCAGGCAAGGATGGTGATGGCCTCCCTCTCTAAAGTTCCCTCCAGCAGAGTCCTCAGGCCCCGACCCACCCAGCCCCAGGCCCCAGCTGAGCAGAGGCTGCCCAAGCCTGGCCTGAGCCTGCCCCAGTAAAGCCTCACTCTGCAGCTGTGGCTTCCAGGATCTGGTCTGCCCTAAATGACCACAGCCCAGTGGTCAGAAGTGGAGCTCAACAAAGGAGCCCCTTCCGGGGGGAGAGGAAAGTCCCCAGCGAAGGTTCAGAGTTGGGGTATCAGGTTTATTTATTTAGCCTGAAAGCTCAGAGGGCAGACCTGGGGTGTCGCCAGGTTGTCATCGTGTCTGTCCAGGAACGAAGAAGGCAGGAAGAACCAGCCTGTAGACATTTAAGCAAAAGGAACCAGCCTCAAGGACTGGAAGCTTCTGGTCTGCACTTAATAAGGTGCTTTGGGACATGTGGCTGTTGCTCCGGAAGCCAGCCCAGTCTCTGGACTGGGCTAGGACTCTAGACTCAGTTCGAGGCTCCCCTGGGCTCTTTGGACAGCTATAGACAAACCTCAGCCCATCCTGGATGGTAATGTGCCTCTTCCCAGCGTGAAAGGAGGAGAGGGAACTTCGTGGGCCGCTGGAGAGTCCTGCTTCCCCCTCTATGCTCCTTGACCTTTCTCTTTTTCTCCTCAAATGAACGAGTGGTACCACTCCACGGGTGTTAAGATGGAGAGGTAATCAAGGGGGGCTGTGTGGAAGTGGTGAGCCAACTCCAGAGCTATGAAAAGATGCTATCTGGGTCTTCTGGAAGGCAGGAGACTGCTGTCCCAAACTCAGACTTTGGGTGTTGGTTAATGCCTGTCCACAGGGATCTGGGGGGGGGGGGGGTTGGGCGCCTTCATGAG